CATGTATTTCTTAGAGTTGTAACTGTAACTTTAAAATATATTTTTCCATCGCTCAGGAGCTTTTACAGATTTTTTTTATTTTGATCAAATAGTTTTGATTTTTAAACTATCACTAGGGTTTGTAGGTATTGCTTTGGGGTAGATGGTTTTGTAAACACTAAATACACAAAGCTCGACTAAATTTTTATAAATTAGCGCAACACCTTGACAAGATCTATTGACGAACGCGAAACAGTCGCCATTATAAATATGTATGGGTGAGATTCAAACTTTGTGAAATATATTCGAGATACAGCCAGTCAGCTTTTCAAACAGTCTATTTTTCAACGGCTATAGGAATTGTTATGGGCTGATTAATTGTAGTGACGTTTCCTCCCTTTTTCAGCTCGCGATCTGCCTCAAAGACCGTTAAAAGATCGTGCCAACGTTCGGCTGGTGAATAGACTGGGATTTAATTCTCAAAGACCGTTGAAAACGAGCTTGTACTTATTAAAATACCCAGATACATTATTTGTGTCAGAAATTGACCTGAGCTTTTGCGCCCTCAGATATTGGAAAATTCTCCAGTGATCGTGTTTAGGATGAGTCTTCATTATTGCTGCGTCGCTCATTTACACTACATGACTATATCTTCGGGTGCTCACATTTAGGTACATTAAACTTTACTTTGTTGTAAAATAGACCCTATACATTTTTTTGAGCACTTTAATATAGAAAGCACTAATGTAGAATATCGATATATATATACCAATATATACTCACCTCTTTCATTGCAAGATTTGAACGATATTGAAAACTATTTTAAAGCTACAAGTAAAGCTAAACATACGATTGACATTTTGTACGATACATAAATCCATCTTCTTAAATTGCAAGAGCAGCCTTCACAGCTTTTTCAGCATTGATACGACCGTATCCATACTGATTATTCGGAAATACGGTGTCTGAGGTTCCACCACATGTCAATGCAGCTTTTGGCAGCGTTTGGTCCGTTGAATTAATCAGCACAGTCTTAACAGCGTCAAAGTTCAAGCCAGGACGAGCACTTAGAATCAACGCAATTGTACCCGCGAGGTGGGGTGCAGCCATACTCGTTCCTGAAATACTTCTATACTCCGAATTGTCATTATTCCAAGCGGATCGAATGCTCACTCCAGGGCCAACAAAATCAGGCTTGATGTTACCGTTAGTAGCTGGACCTAGACTGCTGAACGTGGCTAGATTGTCATTCTTATCAGTCGCTCCTACTGAAAAGACCTTAGATGAATCGCTTGGGGACGCAATCGAACCACATCCTGATGTGCCTGAGTTGCCGGCTGAGAATACGGGAATGATACGAGCTGCATGCCAAGCATCTAAACTTGACTGAAAATAATTCGGGTCTTGGCCACCTCCCCAACTATTGCTCACAATGTGTGGAGCCTTTGAGGGGTCGCAATTGTTACCACTCGTGTCTGTTGGACACAACATGAATTGTGCACATGCCGTCAATAAAGATAGGGAGCAACTTCTCGGTCCACAACCCTTGCAGGCCAACCACTTTGCACCAGGTGCGACCCCCACTCCTTTTCCTCCTACAGCTGTGGCCATTGTGTGCGTTCCGTGGCCACTTGCATCAAAAGGAGTCACAGTCCTTTGTCGAGGATCAAACCAGCCGTGCGAACCAACCCAGTTATTGATCAGACTCTCATGACTACTGCGTACACCAGTATCGATGTTTCCAATAACGACATTCTGACCAATGTTTTTTGAAGACCAAACATTCGGTGCTCTGATTTTTGTGACACCCCATTCCGCAGATGCAGTGTCATTCGCTAAGTCGGCCGCACACTTTGTTGAGTCTTGATTGACAATGATGTCATAGACAATTTCTTTCACCGCCAGGAGGCCATGTATCTGCTGAACCAATTTCAAAGGACAATCTTTGACTTCAATCGTGTTGCTGATCCAATTGCTTCGAAATTGATAGCCCTCTGCTGTAAGGACTCGCATTACTGAATTTTGTGTCCGACGTGCGTGCTGTTTGAGAGCGTAAACTATGTTTCGAATGTTTGCAACTCGCTCAGCCTCTGTCCAAATTGCATTACTGGTGTTGGCAGCAGCAGCGATGACAGATTTTGTATCCTCATTCATGATGATAACGAGTCGGTTTGGGTCGTACAAGTTGCTCACAACCTTGACCAGCGGAGAAATTAATCTTGGTGCCACACCTGTGACAGAATCCACAATATCCGAAATGAAGGCATTCTGAGCACCCGACACAGCAAACATGTGCGTGGCTGCGGTCAATATGAACGTTGCAAATTTAAGTCGCATCATAATTTGCGGCTTTTTTTGTGACTTGAAGGTCGAGTCGATGTGAATCGCAACAGGCAGCTCAGTAGAAGGTGGAAGGTGTATTTGAAAATGAACACGAAAAAGTGGTCTTTGAAAATATGATAGAAGCAGTGCACCATCGTGGTTGCACTTGCTTCTTGGAGTTTTTGGTGGTGTTAGAAGGTGATCACTTTCCCCACGACGCTCGCTCTTATGGTGTAGCAAACGATCAAGCTTTTCATCCACTTCTCATGCTCTCAAAGCCACCCCATCGAAAAAAAGTCTAGTAGGAATGCAGCGTCTACAACAATTATAAAGATATCATTAGTAGAAAGTAAAGAGGTAACTGTGCTTGTAAGTAAATAATGGTAGCTACGTGCCTCTTCACCAACTTGTCGGGAAGGATATTGTTTTCTGGACTGAAGAATCTGACAGATAAGTAGTATATCCAATGAAACTGGATATGACTCAGAAATTGCCGAAACCATATTTCTTGACTTTATATAATTGTGTCAATTTTTTCTCTTTTTGCCCAAGAGAAATATATTAATTGAGGCAGCATAGTACTGACACATCATATCTATCGATAGTATTAAGATGACACAGAATGATTAGACTACGATACCGCCTTTTCACAGTCCAACCTCATGGAAAAGTCTTTCACTAACGCCAATTGGTCGGCACATGCCAAGACATATAGTTCAGTATTCATATCACTAACCCATCGTTGGGCTGTGGATTCACTTCAGATTGCACATCATACAATTCTGCACAAACTTCAGCAACACGAAGCCAAAAACTCTACCACACCGTTTCACTTTTTGGACGTTGGATGTGGCCCAGGAGTACTGAGCTTTGAGTTTGCACGACGGTATCTGACAATTCCGACAAAGATTTGCATTACAGCCTCCGACTTATCTGATGGGATGTTGCAACAAGTGAGAGACAATCTTAAGGAAGATCCAACGCTATTTCCATTCGCATCAAAGTTTAGTACGTTACAGAGCAATGGGTTAATGCTAGAGGAAGTAAATGATTCATCGGTTGACATAATTGGATCCAACTTTGGCCTGGGAATTTTTCCAGATCGTGTAAAAGGTTGGGCAACAGCACGTCGAGTGTTAAAAGAGGATGGATTGCTAGTCATCACGACGTGGAGTGAACAAAGCTCCCAAATGGTCTGGTTTGATCAGCTGACTGAAATGTTTAATATTATTGATGGTGAAGGAGAACCGCTGGAGCGGCCATCGTTGACCGCAGGCACGGATCAATTGAGGGTGTCGAAGGAGCTAAGAGAGGCTGGATTTCGAAACGTGAAGGTGTTTTCAACTACCCATACCATTGTATTTGACGATCCGAAAGCAATTATACAGGCAAATATGAACAATCCGGCTACTATCAAGTTTCTAGAAAGATTGACGAAGGAACAGATAGAACAAACGTTGACTGAGATGTTAGAGAAGGATGCTCAGAAGAACTTTTACCAAGAGGAAGAAGAAACGGAAATCGCATCCACTGACCACAGTCTACCGCGCTTAATTCCGTTTATCGGATTCACTATTCTTGCTTGGAAGTAATGTTGATGATGCTGAAGAGCTGACTCAGTATACACTTACTGTATAGTAGTTGACATTGCCGTCAAATTACTATATATACTGCATGCTGTGATACCCGATGGCTGACATTGACAGATTATCTTAATGCGAAAGAAATTGTTTTGATATCTCAAACAAGCGATAGGGGAACTCGTTAGAGTAAGATACTGACTTTAGAAATGCTATTATTTGAAAGCACACATTAACTCGCAGCGATATCTCGTCCTAGATGATACCCAGCAATTAAAGTACTGTGATTTAAAATCAATGGTTTTGTTATCGAGTACTACTAGTAGTATAAGGTATTAATATTCTGGATTGTATGATGAGTTACGTCCCCCCTTTTTAGGGGTCGTGTAAGCCATGTCAAGCACGTGCTG